AAAATCCTCCACCTCAGACCATTCAGAGATGTAACTCTCTGCGATACTGTGGTCACTCTCCATGTAGCATCAATTATGCTAATGCTAGCTGCCTGTCGTTCTCTCGTCCTGGCCACACCTCTGCTCTCTAACCCCCCTTCCCCACCCACACCCCCTCCCTTGCCCACTTTGACGCATTTTTCAAATTTCGCCTTGGGGTGGAGTTATCAAGATACACTTTAAGTTATTCTGACAGAAAAACACTTGAACTCCAGACTTAATTTTCAGTTCTTATTATCTTATAATCTGATGGAGATTTATTTTGACATCCTTTGMTCTGTTGTGTTCTGAAAATCCTGATGCATGGCTGTAAAAAGTAACACCAGGATGGATCTTATCAGAACCAAGGCCATACAGAGTTCAATGTTTATACACCACTGTCCTTATTTCACAGGTATTTCATACATCTTGTCTTTCATCATGGTGGACCTGTTCCTAAACCGAGTCCTCGTGGAGAACAACTCAGACCAGGATCAGCTCAACACGGAGCGTGAGATCATCGGYATCCTGGAAAACCGCATCCTGTTGCTTTTCTTTGCAGCTGCTGAGTGTGATGAGTGCCAGAAGTTTGTGCCAGACCTGAATGAGTTTTTTAAAAAGCTGAAAGGTCCAGCGTACATCGAATACCCCAAACTGTTAGCACTCATCTACATCAGGTCATCATCTTGATGTTTTTTTTTATTTGTGTACTTCAGGTGACTGCATTAACACATGCCAGCTTTAAATTCACTTCTGAAATTACCATCTTCTTTCTCCAGCTTGGACCAATCAGAGAAGCAGCAGGAAAGATTTCTGAAAAAGCTGCACGAAAAGATGTTGTTTTTGGCCTTTGAGGACCCGTATAAAAAGTTGGTGGTTAACAAAATAGTATCTGTGTATTTTTAACACATGTACATTTATTGCCCCCATCCTTGCGTTCAAACCTATCAGTACTGTTTTATGTCGTGCAGGGAGCTGCAGACCATGTTTGAGGTGAAGGACCTCCCAACAGTCGTCGTCCTGCGGCCTGACGGCTCAGTCCTCTCTCTGAATGCAGTGAAGGAAATCTCTCGCCTGGGAACCGACTGCTTCAASAACTGGCAGGAGTCAGCTAAGCTCATCGAGAGGACTTTCATGCTGAATGAGGATTTCAACGACCCGGACCTTCGAAGTGCCACCGACGCTGTGAGGAGGCTCAAATACAAGACTGAGGATGACAAGAGGAAAAAGAGATGGTGGAAATTCTAGGAGAAGGGGAAWGAGGGGAAGGATGAGGAAGAGAAAGATGAAACTTGGGAAGTAAAGACAAAGGAAAACCAAGGAATTCAGAGGAGAAGATGAAGAGAAAGTTTTAAAAAGCTATTTTATGCACTCTAAACATATATGAATGTAACTGTTCACTTTTTTCCTGAACCAAGTGTACAATTTATTAGCTCTTATTCTTTATAATTGTTATCAATAAAACAGTTGTTATTTCTGTAGACCTGAAAGCAAACAAAATATTTATTTATAATCAATACAAATAGTAAGTTTTACAT